CCTTCCTCTTGGGAGGATTTAGGGGGCAACTCTTCCTAGCCCCATCTGGCAGGTGGGAGAACCGCTCACCCAGAGATGCTGAGTGACTTGTTCTAGGTCACACAGCAGGCTGGTGGCAGGGCAGGTCTGCACTCCTTGCCCCTGGGCTTCCTTCATTTCCTTTGCTCCAGAGCTGGGAGCTCACAGGCAGAGCTGGCTGGAGCCAAAGATTCAAGGAGAATTGTTTTACATATTTGCTAATCGGGTCTCCAAGAGAGAAAAGGGCCCTGAGCTCATCAGGCAGGAAGGAATCCAATTTGGCTTTTATAGCTATGGTTATTGGTCATATATTGTGAGATCTTTTTATTTTTTATTAACCCAGCAGTGTGGGGGCTGGGAGCCGGACTGGCTGCTGGGGTCCATGGGTCCCCTGGGCTCCACGGCTGCAGTCCCCAGCCCCACATGCCCTGGTCAGGACATGGGACCAGCAGTGGAGAGAGAGGGTGGGAGAGGTGGCCTGGATGGGTTGGCCAAAGCACACGGGGGAGGAGAGGTTTCAGGAGGTTTTCTTCAGGCCAGGGCATCTGGGAGCCTGATCGTTCCTGGGTTCTGTATGCATTGCTGGTTTTATTAAGCTTTTATTGTCCTTTTTCCTTTGTAATGTAGAGGCTGCTCTGAGAGTCCAGGAGGCAGGCCTAATGGGCCTGGGCCTCCAAGTCCGTGTTGTGCAGATGGAGGTGGGAGGTGGGCGGGGCGGGGGTGGGGCTGGAGCAGGTGGGGGCGGTGCCAGAAATACTTCTTGCAGCAGAGCACCAAGGCCAAAAGGATGGGCCCTGGCTCTGGCCCAGCCCCACCCCTCCCAGCTGCCTTGTAGAACTAAGGCTGGACTCTAGATGACCTGAGTCAGGAAAGCCCCTAGCATGTGCAGGTACACAGTAAGGCTCAATGGAAGTTAAGCTTTCTGCCCGAGGCCCTTGCAACCTTCGGCCTTTTTCCTTTCCAGCAGGAAGAGCTGCTTATTGGTTCTAGGTGGCCTTTTTGTGCCCCCATCCCTGGTCACATAATTCTGTTCCTGGCCTGGATGCCGTCATTTTTCCCACTCTATGAGTGGAAGGAGAGATGCTGTGAAAAGCCAGCCCTGGCCAGAATCTAAGAGCCTGAGCCTGTCCCCAGAGCTCCCGGAGGGCACTTGTGCCCCTGCAGTGTGTGTGTGTGGGGATATGACATCTGCTGCTGCAGAGAGCGGGGGAGGATGGCCAGGGCTGCAGGGTGACAGTCCTGAACCATCTGTACCGAGTCACCCAGGGAGGTGGTTTAAATAGATCCGCGGGCACCACCCCCGAGAGTGATCTAACCTTGGTATCTGCATTTTAAGAAGTGGCTCTGGCTCACCGTCAGGGCCAGGGACCTCCATGGCACAGAAACAGTGTCCCGTCCACCCGGCTGAGGACCTGTTCTCAAGCAGGGGCCGGATTTGGGCTCTTGTTCCCTGAGGAGTTTGTGATAATCAAACTAGCTGCATGATTCCACGGGGCAGTGGGGATCACTGTCCCACTTTATAGATGAGGAAACTGAGGCACCTGGGTCGTGGCAAGGTCAGGGTTTGAACCCAGGTCTGGCCGGACAATTTACACTGCTTAGCTCACCCCCCATCCCAGGCCCTCTTAGTGTGGAGGAGACCAGGTCATCCCCTCCTCCTGCTGAGCCCCCTGCAGGGGACATGCTGTCGGGCCCACTGCTGCGAGGTCCCCTGGGCTGCCTGGGACACTCTCCCGGCTGATGTATTGCCCGCGGCGGAGCTTGTTTGGCTGATATATATTGAGCTGTTGGGTTTCCAAGTCAGCGCCTACAGCTTCCTCACCAGCTGTCAGCCCGGACAGGCCAGCCGTCCTTCATCCTCGCTTCTCTGTACCCAGGGCTCTGGCTCCAGCAGACTCACACCAGAGCCCCCATCCACTCCCTTCCCTGCCTACCCCACCTGGATTCCTGGATTTTCTGTGCAGAGAGGAATGGTCTTGTGCCTCCCTCTGGCTTTCCTGCTGGCAAATGGATGGTGTTTCCTGATGGGAAGGGGTGCAGGTGCCTCCTCCAGCTGCAGCCACAAAGCCAGCCATGCCCAGGGCTGGGCAGAGAGGATGGGGGTGCTAGGTGCAGGGTCTTCTTGCTGGGAAGAGGCTGGGACAAGAGCCTCACCCCTTCCTCTGTGGGTCTAGAGGGAATTGCTTGACTCTAGTATTTCCATTTCCATCTGAGATCCTGAGTAAGACCTGGGACTTCTTAAGAGAAGGCTTTGGATGGCCCTAACATCCAGTTGCTAGATGGGGCTCCCCAGTGCACCTCTACTTTCTCTTTGGGATGTTTTATGCCCTACTGTATTAGGTTCTCCAGGGAAATTAGAACCACTGACTTATGCAGTTATGGATGCTGAGAAGTGCCAAGATCTGCAGCCTGTAGGTTAGAGACCCAAGAGAGCTAATGTTTTTTAGTTCTAAAGATCTGAGGACCAGGGCTATGGTCCATGTTCCAGACCACAAGCCACAGACTCAAGACCCAAGAGGATCCAGTGTTTCAGCTTGAGGCAAAGGCCAGGAAAGACCCTCATCGTAGCTCTCACACTCAGTGGAAAGAGTTTTCTCTGTCTCAGTCTTTCCGTGCTGTTCAGCTCCTCAGAGGACAGGCCCCCAGAGCCCAGCCACAGGACAAGGGCGCATGCTCTACTCGGCCTACTGATTCAGATGTTCATGTCCTCCCCAAACACCCTTGCAGACACACCCAAGATCCCATTTATCCCAATGTCCAGGCACCCCATGACCTCGCCAAGGCATCTTGAACTTAAAGCATCAGTGAAATTACCCTTCATACTCACGTTCTAAGCTCCTGTGACTGGTAGCAACTCACTCTGTCATGCCCTGGGTTGTCACCTGCTGGAAGCAGAATTGCTGAAACCTGGGTGATTTCAGGTCCCGTTGGGATGGCACAGGCTTGCCAAACAGCAATAGGTTCCTCCATACCAGGCATTTCAGTTCAGTTCTCCAGCATCTCAAGAGCTGCTGGAACCTCAAAAAGATCCTGGGCTTTGGGATCAGTAGAGGTGAGCGGTACACTGTGGTTCTATCTTCTTAGCTGTGTGGCCATGAAGGAGTCAGTTAACCTCTCTGATTTTGATTTTTCTTCCATAAAATGCGGATGCTCCAATGCCAGCCTTGCAGAGCTGCTGTGAGGGTGACAGATGACAGATAAAGCACACTGGCCCACGGTGGGTGCTAGGTATCACATTATAATTACCCTCAGGAGTGTCATTTTCTGCACTGAGCTCGCTGGACTTTTGGCCTCAACCCTCTCCCCCATGTTGTTTTGCACTAATTCTACTACCTTGCTTCTGATACTTCTCCAGTCTCCTGGCCTGAGACTGAGTATCCAAGTCTTAGGAAAGGGTCTGGGATACCAGGTGACAGGCAAGGGCCAGAGCGGGCATGTGGAGGGTGGCAGATCCTCAGGAGATGGAAGATAGGACAGGAGGGACAGAGGCCTCTTCTTTCCTCCCTCCCATCTCTACTTGGGATGGCTGGGATGCTGTGGTATAACCAGGGGGCAGAGACCCAGTGTCCCCCGCTTCAGCACATCAGGGGTAACTGGAGGTATTCGACTCAAAATATTTCACTGGGAGCTTCTGTCCAAAACCCTCAACCCAACGGCAGGAGAGTCAAAGACCCCAAGATGTTCAACGACCGGAGCTGAACCGGGGAGGCAAAACACCCCGAGTCAGGAAGAAAAACCTGATTAGTTCCTAATTGCCATTAAATTATATATACACATATGTATTTTAAGTTGAATCTGCATGTCTAATGTGATTTTTTGATTACATTTTAATAGTCTGGCTGGGATGGGGGAATGGAGAAGGAAGATTCTGGCATCCTTTTCCAAAGGAGGGAACTTATAAACAGGGCGGCAGAGAGGCTCTGGCTAGTGCTTCATCCAGGGCAGCTACTCAGGAAAAGAATGAGGCCCTCCCCCGGGGGCCTGGGTAGTGTCGCACCACCCCCGGCCACAGCTCCATCTGTCCGTATGGGCAGGTCCATCTGCCTTGTGACTTGTAGAATGCTTTCCCCTTAGACTTAAAAATAGCTTTCCTGTTTGGGCTCTTGGGCTGCACATGCCGTCTTCTCCCTGGGCCTGGCCAGAGCTCCCCGGAATCTGGTAGTGGGGGAAGATGAAAAGTTCCAACCGAGAGTCCTGGCCCTACTTCTGCCAGTGTGACGTGGGATATTCTGGCTTCTTCCCCGCTGGGTCTCAGAATGAATTCCTGTGTGTGAATTAAAGGCATTAGACTAGATACACCCCAAGTCCTTTTCAGTCTGATGGGCCATGATCTACTTCTGGTCCTTTCAAGACTCTTCTCCCCATGCCAGGGGACCAGGAGGCTCTTTCTCGCAGTGAGCATCTGCCGGTTCTCTGTCTCCACGTCCTTTTGCTTCCTTGCTGGGCTTCCTCCTGCTCCAACCCAAGCCAGCTCTCCTTGGACTTTCTCCTTGGAGGACAGAACCCTCCTCCCGTGCCCATTATAGTAACTCCTCAAAGAGTAGAAGGCTGCTAGCAAATCCCTTCCACACACACACACACATTCTATTTTTAAATAACACTTATTTCTGATTCTAAAAGTAAGGCTGTACCTGATCATTGCAGGAAAATTGGAAACAGACAAGTATAAAAGAAAAATGAAAATCACCCATAATCCTTCCAAACAGCGATAACCACTATTAATGGGTTTTATTTAAATACACACATATGGGGTTTTTTTTTTTTCCCTTCCTGTTACAGAATTAAGATTTTGCTGCAGATGTAGCTTCAGGTCACCCCAAGGCTGGCCTTGAACCTGAGTGAAGTTCTTCCTTCCCAGATTCCCGGACCTGCTGTCCCCTCGTAGGCAGCCCACTTGGGTTTGCAGGCTCCAGGCATACCCAGAGTTTAAGTTTTGACACTGTGTGTGTGTGTGTGTGTGTGTATAAGGAAGAGTGAGACACAGGTAGCATGAAAGAGAAGCAGGAGAGACAGAAGGGCAGAGACAGAGACAGACGGAGGGACAGAGACACAGAGAGAGCGTGCAGATCTCAGCCCACTCTTGCGCAGACCGGAGTCCTGCTTGGCTCTGTCTGGGGCGCAGCTGCGGCAGCGCTGCCCTCGTTCCTGACCATGGAGCAGCTGGGGCGCCTCGCTAAGCTCATCCATTCCCATCACTTGAGAGAGGAAAGCATATTTAGAATCTGCTCCTGCCTGCAGGGGCCCGCGGTTGTGACTGGGGCGCAGTAACAGCCCGTCCTGGCGGGCTGGAGGGCCTCTGAGATGACCCTGCCCTTCTTGGCCCATACACTGGGGAGAGACAATGCTGGGAGTCTGGGGCTTCTTATAGACAGGGATGTCACAGCAGGAGGGAGCAGGCCTGCCACTTTCTCACATTAAAATGCGGAAAGCAGGGCCCCAAGAGAGGACCAGGGCTACACAGAAAGTCAGTGGCAGAGGTGGGCTGGGGGATGTGTCAGTGACTGTGAGTGTGGTGTAACTCCCCACATGGCAGCTCCTCCTTTTGGGGGTGTATCAGTCAGTGTTTACTAGAGAAACCGATATAACACAAGATATACAAACATACAAGACTCTACAAGATTGGCTTACAGTGGCTTCCCACAGAGTTGGATGAGGAAGTGTGCAGAAGGTCTGTCTGCATGATGGAGGCCGGAGTCCAGTCGAAGGTCTGGAGCTCGCTGCAGTGTCCCGAGCGAGTCCATATCAAGAAGCCTGTGGGTCTGCGATGAAAGGCTGAATCTATACCGGAAGGCTGAAAGATCTGCACCGGAAGCTGAAGAGTCTGCGCTGGAAGCCAAGAGATGAAGTCCAAAGTGAAGGCAAAGACTGGAGCTCCTCCAAAGAAACAGAAGCCCTGCTGTCCTCCTTCCTTTCCCGTTTATACGGTACAGGCTAGGAGCCGCACTAGGGTGGGCCTTCTACACCCTACGGCGTGGAACTGCTGAGCCAATTTAGCTGCGCTTCTCTTACTCAAGTTGACACAATAAATCAATCATCACAGGAGGTGACTGAGAAGGCAGGTGTGGGGGTGACAGACTAAGAGCTCATCAGGACCACCTCATATGCTTCCAGGTACCTTCAAACCCAGAAGCAGTTGTCCCCTCTGGTGACTCACTGTCCCTTCTGTCCAGGCACAAGTTTTGAGGATGCCTAGCCCAAGCTCATCAATCTCCTTTCCTTCATTCAATGCCTACCTGCCAAACACTGACCCCTCCCCCAGGAGAGGTTTTGTTTGGTTTTCTAATACTGTGGATTGAACCCAGGGCCTTTGCACTCAGTTACATCTGCGACCCTTTTTATTTTAAAACACGGTCTCCCCGAGTCACTAAATTGCCCAGGCTGGGCTAGAACTTGCGATCCTCCTGCCTCAGCCTCCCAGAGTGTTGGGATTATAGGTGTGTACCACCATGCCGGGCCCCAAGGAGGGACACCTTGCTCCCTTGAAGCTCTTGTCCTCTGGCTGTGGTGCTTTCACTGGAAGGTGGCATGGCTGTGCCCAAGTACTGCGCATGGAGGTCCCCCAAGTGCTGTGGGCAGGGCCTGGCCTCACTCCTATGGACCAGGGCTCCTCGCAGCTGCCCCAGACACTGCTGCTGTGCCCACTGCAGTGACACACGACTGCCTTTGTGCTGTCTGGGCCTTGCCTGCCGGGCTGGGACCACGCACAGGTGGTGTCACTCTTGTGTTCACACCCCAGGGTGGTTGCCTGGCTGTCAGCAGGGACGCTGCAGGTGGTCTCTACACAGGGTTTCCCACTGCATGGCACAGGGTTCCAAGCATCAGTGTCCCAAAAGAGCCTGGTGGAAGATGCATCTCTCTTTATGCTCTGTTCTCAAGGTCAAGGGATGGCACATCAGCTGTAGATCACCCTGCCCACCCAGATAGGGGAGAAGTGCACAAAAGTCTCATCAGGAGGTAGCATGTGACACGGGAGACGCTGGTGTGGCATCTTTGGAAATAGCAATCAGCTGTGTGAATCCTTACGGAGTTGACAGCCTTTGCAGGCAGGAGAAGTAGAGGATAGAAGAATAAATGCTACCCTTTCTCATGCATAGATGTACCAGGTACCACACTCAGTCTGCTGTCTACACTAGCCTTCTAAGCAACTCTGGTGGGTACTGTTGTCCCCTTTCTGCAGATGGGAAGACTGAGGCTCAGAAAGGTTACACTGCCTCCTTAAATCACACTGGTTGGGATTTGTATCCAAATCTGCCTGCCTCTAAAGCCACAGCCCTTAAGGGCCTGCTGCACTCCGCTCCCAAAGTAATTTCACCCCAGGTAAAGTATAGTAAGGGAGATAAGCAGCTTAGACAGGCAGCTCGGGAGGCTCGGATCTGGGAAGACGTCCTGGCAGAGGTGACGCTGAGCGAAGCCTTGAAAGATAAATTAGATTTGGAAACCTTTGGAAAGAGGCGGCAGGATCTGGAGAAGTAGCAGTGGGATAAAGCAGCTCCCACACTGCCCAGGGAAGGTTGCTGTGACCTGGACTCCTGACCTTTGGCTCCTCGCACACCGGCACATAGAGTATACTCCCTGCAGGGCAAGCGGGGGTGGGGGTGGGACGGGTGGACTTCGTCCCGAGAAAAGTTGTCCGAGTGGCCCTTGCCTCTGCGCTCTATCACCGTCAACTTCCTCCCTCTGAGCGTAGCAAAGCGGAGGAGGCTCCCGCCCCCACCCCTGCAGGCAGACTTGGCTTTTCCCCCTGCAGATGGGCTGAGGCCGAGCTGCCTCCTGCGCTAACACACTGAGCCTCCTGTCCCTGTCCCCTGCATCCCTGTCCCCTGCATCCCTGTCCCCTCCATCCCTGTCCCCTCCATCCCTGTCCCCTGTGCAGGCCCTCACCGGCAGGCTGGTGGGCTCGCCTTGGGGAGCAAATAGGGAGTGAATGATCACACTGATAGGAATCTTGCATATTACAGGAGCAGTTCCGGGCCCTTCCGGCCTCTGTCTTTCAAACGCACCACTCCTCTCTCACTACCCTGGGAAACCCCCTTTGGTCACTCTCTCTCTTTTTTTGTTTTCCTGCCTGCATCTGTCTCCCTCCATCCCCCAGCTGCCCCGCTGTCCTGTCTCTTCTTTCCCTCTCTCTGTCTCCAATCTCTGCAATGTCCGCCCCTGTTTCTTGCTTCCCCTCGCCCGCTCATCCTCACTTTCTCTGGACTGACAGCAGCCCCGTCTCTTCCAGTGTAGACCGCCTAATTGAAATGGAGCACCCCAGAGCATGTTAATAGGAAAGCAGCATTAATTAGCCAGCTCTGGTATAATTAGCTCCCTCCTCTCACTGCCTGGCATCTAACTGGATAATGAGCCTCTCTCCGTCCAAACAGAAGGCAGGCAGGACGAGGGGACAGACCATGCCGGGGATGCCAGAAGGTGCCCTGCCTTTGGGCCACCCCCTGGACTCCTCAGGCTGCCCAGCCCTGCCCTCTCCTGCCAGGCCCTCCTGCCGCTTGTGCTCAAATCTCAGGGAGGCAGATGCCCGGCCCATGCCCATGCCCAAAGATTTGACGGTACTGGAGCTGCATATTAAGTGATCTGAGCCCGACAGGAGCTGCAGCTGCACCGTCCAGAAGGGGCGGGGAGCTACTGAGGCCTGGAGGCAAGCTAGGACTGGCGCCTCGCCCTGGCACAAACCCCTGGGCAAAGGCTGGGCACGTTACAGTCCCCAAAGGGGAGGAAAGAAATCCGCTTCCGTGGCAGCCGGTACCTAATGTACCGGAGACTGTAGGGCACTGCCACCTTTGACCCCGTGGCCGCGTGAGGAAGGACACTGCTGGGACCCAAACTGGGGACGGTCACATTCCCAACATGCCGACCTTTCCCTTCTACCGTGATACCTCCTACCTGAAGGTACTTTGCAGTTACTGCTAAATAAAAGCAGTTGCCGTGGAATCCCATTTGACAGCGGCCTTGAGTTCTAGAGTCAGAACGCAGCAAAAATTGGAAAGTCGTCTGTAGGCAAATTCTTCTCAAATATTCCTTACACGGGAAGAAACGGTTTTTTGTGTTTGCAGTTGGGCTGTAATTCTGCTTCTGTGGCCTTGAAAGCCGGGATCTAGTTGGGAGAGGTGATGGGGAAATAAGAGGGTGTTTCTTTCAGCTTGGTGCACACGTGGCCCAATTCGGTAGCGTTCGGTGCCTGCTTGGTGCCGCCCCGGCACTATATTAGTGCTCCTTAGAGTGGGCACCTCGGTGCCAGGGTTGGTGCCACAGGCTCCTCTCTGCCCTCTCTCCAAGCTGTGACCCTCTCCCTCTCCCGTAGGCTATGGACTCAGAAGATGACCCCCTGCTGCAGGACGTGTGGCTAGAGGAGCAGGAGGAGGAAGAAGCCATGGGGGACCCCTTTAGGGGGGCCCAGAATTCGTGCCCCCGGCCCGGGGCAGGAGGCCAGTGTTGCTGGCGGCGCTGGACCCTTCCGTCCCGGCCCCCGGCCTCCGGCTTCTGGAGCACCCTGGGCTGGGCCTTCACCAACCCGTGCTGCGCGGGACTAGTGCTCTTCCTGGGCTGCAGCATCCCCATGGCCCTGTCGGCCTTCATGTTCCTCTACTACCCACCGCTGGACATTGACATCTCCTACAACGCCTTTGAGATCCGCAACCACGAGGCCTCGCAGCGTTTCGACGCCCTAGCTTTGGCGCTCAAGTCCCAGTTTGGATCCTGGGGTCGCAACAGGCGGGACTTGGCGGATTTCACCTCTGAGACGCTTCAGCGCCTGATCTCAGAGCAGCTGCAGCAGCTTCATCTCGGAAACCGCTCGCGCCAGGCCTCCAGAGCCCCACGCGCTGTGCCTGTGGCCACCTGGGACCCCTCTGAGAACCAAAAGCCAACTGTCAATCAGAGTAGGCGTCTTCGGCGTGAGGTCCAGCACCCGAAGAATCTATCAGCCAACCAGAGTGATACTTCGCGGGATCCACCTATGAACCACAATGGGCGGTACCAGCCCAGCGCTCCGCCCCCCGCGGCCGCAGCAGCCAATCAGAGCCGTGCCCGCCGGGGTGCCTCGCGCTGGGACTATTCCAGGGCCTATGTGAGCGCCAACACCCAGACGCACGCGCACTGGCGCATTGAGCTCATCTTCCTCGCACGTGGCGACGCTGAGCGTAATATTTTCACCAGTGAGAGGCTGGTCACGATCCACGAGATCGAGCGCAAGATCATGGACCACCCAGGCTTCCGGGAGTTCTGCTGGAAGCCCCACGAAGTGCTCAAAGACCTGCCGCTTGGCTCCTATTCCTACTGCTCCCCGCCCAGCTCACTCATGACCTACTTCTTCCCTACCGAGAGGGGCGGCAAGATCTACTATGACGGCATGGGCCAGGACCTGGCCGACATCCGGGGTGAGCAGATCCGGATGGGTCTCGGTGGGCCGTGGGTTTTGGCGTCTGGAAGATGAGCTCTGCCAGGCTGGGGCGGAGAGCTGGCCCCACTGTGAGGGCGAGGGGGAAAAGCCTGGGAGGTGCAGGCAGGATGTGGGTGAGCAGGGGGAAAGGAAGGCAGGATGTTGGGGGCTGTGCTGTGGCCAGCGTGAGAGAAAGCGTGGGGTGGGGCTTGGGCACGGGGTCAGTTAGTGGAAGAACCAGGGGTCTGTTCGGAGGGAGACAGGAGAGGGACTGGGGGAAGGAAGACGGGTTAGTTGTGGGTAGATTAGGGATGGAGTTTGAGGAATGGTGGGGCAGAGCCAGAGAACAGTTGTGGGAGCTGGGGCAGGCTTCGGGTGACCTTTTAAGGAGGGGTGTGGGCAGGGCAGAACCCTAGGAGAGGGCACTGGAACAGGACGCAGAAGGCGGAGTTATACGAGCGCAGGGACTGGGAATCAGGTGGAGTTCCAACTGGAATGAAAGTTTACACGCAGTGGGAGCTGACGCTTCTCCTGGAAGGCTGTAAGTTCTTTAAACAATCCCTCTGCCCCACTGGGGAGCCTCAGGCAGCCTGAGTGGGAGTTTGCGAGTGCCTTAGTTACGGATGAGGTGATGGAAAAGGGTGGTGCTGAGTGTTGGGGGCCCTCCTCTGCCCCTGCAGGCTCCCTGGAGCTGGCCATGACTCACCCTGAGTTCTACTGGTACGTGGACGAGGGCCTCTCCGCTGACAACCTGAAGAGCTCCCTCTTGCGCAGCGAGATCCTGTTTGGAGCACCTCTGCCCAACTACTACTCAGTGGATGACCGCTGGGAGGAGCAACGGGCCAAGTTTCAGAGCTTTGTGGTCACCTACGTGGCCATGCTGGCCAAGCAGTCCACTAGGTAGGAGGTGCAGCCCCGCCGCAGGGTGTGCCTGCCCCTGTGGGTACCAGGGCAGAGCTGTCTTTTGTTTGCAGGTGCTTCTTATTCGTAATCTCCTTCTCTACAATCTTTCCCGCGGGAAGTCTTTCTTCCCAAACCAGGGCCAGAGCCAGGTAGAGCCACAGTTTCCACCCTGACCCACGAAAGGCTCCTTGTTTTGATCTGTGCTGACAGTTAGTGAGCATGACAGCTTTAAGGGAAGTGGGTGATTCTAGAACTCTGGCCTTGGAGCGCTTAGGTACTGGTTTTCTCGTGAGATGGTGCTAGAGGTCTTTCTGGAAAGATCATTGGCCAAGTAGTTTTCTCTGCCTCTAATGTTCAGGGAGACAGTGGGCAAGTCATTTCATTTCCCTTAGCATCAATGTCCCTGCTTGTGGAATGGGGACCATGAAACCGGATAGCCCGGTGATTAGGAAGAGATGAGCTAACAGGTGTGAAGGTGCTTAGGGCTGAAAGTGCTTTGGGAGGTTGCATCTGGGAATAAAGTCAGGTCGTCCCCTCTGGGACAGTCCCACAGGGTAATAACTCCAGTGTGTTCCAGTGCTAGCCCTGACAGACCAGCCCAGGAGAGATCATTCTACCTGAAATATCCTTTCATTGCTCATCCATTATACTGAACAACCACTATCATAATCCAAGCCGTTTACTGAGCACTTACTCTGGACCACACGCCATTCACAGCCTTTTATATATCCCATCACTTAATTCTCACCCCCCAAATGAGATGGTTGCTGTTACGATTATCTCTGTCTGGATGTTGAGGTACTGCACAATTAAGTTGTCCAAAACTGTCAAGCTCATCTGTGGTGGAATGGGATTCATGTGCAGGCTTTCTAATCCAGAGCCCTCACCCCTTGAGTTTTTATGCCAGTTGATGCATTAGGAGCCTTCACCCTGCCCCGCTTCTTTGACAGGTAAATGCCTGATTATCTACTAAGATCCAGCTTTGGGCTGTTTTTCCCTGAGGCGGAATTTCGTGCTCACCCTACCTAGGTTCACTGTTCCCTTCCTACTCTCTAAGGAAGACAAGAAACAGCACACACAGAGGTTGGAGTTAGCTGTCTCTGGGGTCAGATCCCAGTTACTCCTTGCTTAGCTGTGGGCATTTCTATGAGCAGTGTCACTTCGCTGTGCTACAGTTTCATCCTAGCATCTGTCATTCTGTATTTTAGTTGTAACTCAGAGGGCAGCCCTTAAATCAGCAACGTCAGCATTATCTGCAGGACTGTTAGAAGTGCGGAATCACAAGCCCTTTCCCAGAACTTCAGAATCTCCACATTTGTTTGCAAGTTAAAGTTTGAGAAGGGCCTGGTTTAATTATCTGCCACACTAGAATGTGAATTTGTTGAGGTCTGGGATTGCTTCTAGCTTGTTTCTGTAGGTCTAGCCTCAGTACAGCACCAGGTACCCCTTAGTCAGGATTTATCTGATAATGAATGAGTAGCAGTGCCTCAGGGAATGACAGCTGAGAGGGTGGAAGGATCTTCAGGGTTTTAGATCTGAGTGATTATTTCTGCCTTAAATGTGCAGCTGCTGAAGCACAATCTCTGCCCTTAGGAAAAAAGCCAGCCTTTGCTTTTTCTCTCCTCCTGGAGCTTCATAACAGTAGTGACAGCCAGGCCCTTGTGGATTTGATGTTAATGCTGCTTTTTGGATTAACACAGTCTTTTTTATTATCATATTATTGGTGACCCAAGAGATGGCAGCACATAACTTGATTTCATATAGAATAATTCAAATTATTATTTGTGTTGCTTCCCTGATAATGCTGGAATCCTAGAATACTTTCTCTGCATTTATTCTTTAGCCTATTGTGTTTTCATTGCATGCATCTTAATTCTATATACACTGGAGACCTCACAGGACATTGCATGATTGTAGAGAGTCTCTATTCATTTGTATTTATTCACATGTTTACCTTTTTGTGGTTCTACATCACCTTCTACAGTTTTACATTTCCCTCTGGGATCATTTTCTCTGTGTTGTAGAACTCTCTTCAGTATTCTTTTAGTGGAGGTTTGTTGATGATAAATTTTATTTTATTTGCCTAGAAAACATCTTTATTTTATTTCCACTTTTGAAGTCTATTTTTGCTGGACTGAGTTGCAAATTGGCAGTTATTTTCTTTTGATATTTTAAAGATCACTTCTCGGCCTTTTGGCCAAGATGAAATGTTGATATTGTAAAGACATCATCCCAGTGTCTTCTAACTTTCATCATTTCTGTTGAAAAGTCAGCTGTAAATCTTTCTGTTGCTCTTTTAAATGATTCTCTTTTCTCCTCTGGTTTAAGATTTCTCTCTGTCTTCAGGTTCACTAGTCTTCGTATGAGGAGTGTTGGTATAGTTTTCTTTTTATTTGTTCCTGTTGTGTCACAGAACTTCTTGAGCCTCTAAGTTGATGATTATAATGTTTTAGAAACTTCCTATTCTCACTTCAAATATTGCTTCTCCTTTATTCTCTGTAACTCTTTTTAAAACTCATCTGTAAATGTCCTTTTCTAGGTTTTATCTATTTTTTTTTCTTTCTATCCTTTGGTTTAAGTATTCCAGTTCACTAATCCTGTACTCTATTATGTCTAATCTGTCACTTAATGTCTGTTGAGTTTTTATTGCTAAAGTTCTGTTTTTCTGTTGAAAAATTCCACTTGGTTCTTTGTTACAGATCTGCATCGCTGGTGAAATTCTTCATATTTGTTTGTACAGTCTCTTTTTTGTTCTTAAATACACTAATGTAGTTACTTTAAATTTCTTATCAGGTAACTTCAACATATGGGTAACCTGTGGATTTCTTTCTGTAGTCTGTTCTCTCACTTGGTTTTTGATCATGTTGCCCTGCCTGTGAGAAACCTGATAGTTTGTATTGCATGTTGAACAATTTGTATAAAAACCAAAGAGGTCTAAGTGATGTTCTTTCCTCCACAGAATGTTTACCCTTCCCTTCTCTTGGTTGGTAGCTGTGTGACTTATCACCTTCACCCATCAGTGACTACAGGGAAAGTTCTCAGTGTACCTCTAGGTTGTTGTAGGTTCTCCAGGACTTTCAACTGACAGCCTGATGTATTTTGCAGAGGCCTTTACATGACATGTTACAAACTTAGTTTTATTTCTCAAAGCTACTTACAAAACTCCACTCTATTCCTTTCCTGAGACTTTCTGATTAGGTCTTTTTAGCCACATGCTCTATACAACCCAGTCTTTTAGCAAAAGTACTGAGAGAAAAACTAGCCATGTGTCCTACTAGTTTCCATGTCTCTGCCCAAGATTCTGCTAATTTATTGGACTCACAGCCAAGATTTTTAGTCATTTGCCCGTGCTCAGAAGCAGCAGATGCCTCCAGGAT